CTCGATCCCAGGACCCTGGGATCATGACCTGAGCCGAAGGCAGACGCTTAACCATCTGAGCCACCCAGGTGCCCAAAAAAATGTCTAGATTCTTAAGGAGCTCACAGTCTCATGGTACCAACTGAGTTTAAAAACTCAAATGGTTCTAAAACAATATCATGAGTATTGTAGTGAAGTGGGTGCTCAGGATGATAGCAGCCCTGAAGGGAGGGTTTGATTTCTTCTGCTACGGCAGAATTATAGTTTGAGAACTGGTGGAGACCTTATGAGCCCTTTGAGGACAGGATATTTTTCTGTCCCCAACACCTAGCAGAGTGCCTGGCATATGGAAGATAATCAATAAATGATAAATGGTCATCTATACTGTGCAGTCTTATATGGTAGATATTGAGTACTTGAAACATGGCTAGTTGGAATTGAGATATGCTGTGAGTGTTAAGTGCTCACAAGATTTTAAGGACTTATTTAAGACAATGTGTGTAAAAAAAAATCACAATTTTTTATATTGATTATATGTTGAAATGATCCTTATTTGATATATTAGATTAAATATGTGATTAAAATCAATTTACCCATTTCTTTTTAGTTTTAAAAAATATGGCTACTAGAAAATAAATTACGTGTGTCTTGTATTATGTCAGACAATGCTGATCTTACTCAACTGCCTTAGAGAGATGCTGTGATTTGACCAAGGTCACAAAATAGCAGATACCTTAAAATTGAGAATTTACATGTTGAATTTCTTGACTTCTGGTTCAGTTTTCCTTATAGCCCTAAATTAGTATAATGTAAATACATAAATTTTGAGGTAAAATGACATCAGTTTGGTCTTACTAGGGATGGCCCGATCTCCCTGTAATCCTCTCAAAACCACATGAAGTATAGGTTCTGTTAAGTATAGGTTACAGTTATGAAATCTCAGTCTTAGGGTGGTACACTCAAGGTCACACAGCTAATCACAGAATTTAAGGTGGGACTGAGAAATGACAGGAAATCTGGGAATTTTTCCTACACAAGGACAGACCTATAAACACTGGGGACTCTTGAGTCCATAGAGGATGAATGTATTAATGTATATGCCCGAAAAAAAGTTTAAAAATCCATTGCAGAATGTGTGATTATGTGAATGAGTATATGCTTATACAAGTACATGAAAGAGACAGAGACAGACAGAGGGGCTGGGGAGAAAGGGATAGAGAGAATGGATGATGAAATTGATTTTATTTATTTATTTTTAAAGATTTTATTTATTTATTTGACAGAGAGAGAGAGAGACAGCAAGAGAGGGAATATAAGCAGGGGGAGTGGAAGAGGGAGACGCAGGCTTCCCGTGGAGCAGGGAGACCGATGCGGGGCTCGATCCCAGGACCCTGGGATCATGACCTGAGCCGAAGGCAGACGCTTAACGACTGAGCTACCCAGGCGCCCCAGTGAAATTGATTTTAAAGACTGGTTCCTCATGCCAGCATCTTTCCTGATCCTTCCATCTTTCTTTCCTGATTCCCTTCCCTTCCCTTCTTTTCCCTTTCCTCCCCTTCCTGAGGGAAAGAGGAGGGGGAGGGAGGGGGAGAGGGAGAGAGAATCCCAAGCAGGCTCCACCCCCAGCCCAGAGACTCACACGGGGCTCATTCTCACGACCCTGAGATCATGACCTGAGCCAAAATCAAGAGTCAGACACTCAACCAACTGATCCACCCAGGCACCCCTTTCTTCCCATTTCTGACATTGAAATTACTCACCATATTCCCATTTTCTTTATTCAACTCAGTTCAGTTCAAATCAATGTACCTAAGTCTGAACAGATGTTTATCAACATGTTTACAATGGTTCTCTTTGGATAGAGGGGTTTCAGGTGGTTTAAAATTTTGCTTATTTGTTCTCTATATCATTTGAATTCTTTTTTCAATAACATATACTAAGAAAAACCAGATTTAAAAAACAGCAAAGCTATTTTCATTTGGAAGAAAAAAATCAATATGCTTAATAGTTTTCATTCCAAAAATAAACCTTTCACCCTAAAATTTCAGAGTCGCATAACTTCCTCTCTGCCATTCCACTCTTTATTGGCTTCAATTTCATGGTCCCAAGTGAATGATTAGAGTAGGTCTCCAAAGGCTAGTGCTGTAATATACCATCTCTTGGTCATAGAGATGAGCTTTCTTGTAGAGGTAGTATTTATTTCTTTAGCTAGGATGTTTATGTTTTCTGGGGACAGATTGTTTGTAAACAACAGTAGCTCAGAGTGGTCATATCCTGCAACTATTTTTAAATGCTTTCAATCTAAACAGTCTATTTGCTGTGTTTATGTCATAATGAGACCTTGGTTGTTATTCAGCCCCTATCTGATAATTTTCTTTTCCAAATTACCCTGCAAATTTATTTGTCCCTGCAAATAGGGACTTTAAAAAGTCCCTGTTTTTCAGCTTGCTTTTCACTGTTTATTGACGTGGTTTATGTTCTTTTAAGATGCTAGTGATCAAAGAGAAGATGTTTATATTGGAAACCACATGCCTTGCCCTGAAAACCTCAATGGTTACTGCATCCATGGGAAATGTGAATTCATCTATTCAACTCAGAAGGCTTCTTGTAGGTAGGTCAACACCTCCAGGTCAGAGGTGAGGAATTTTTTCCTTCAGTCACTGCTCTATAGAAAGCAATGAAATACAGATTAAATATTATCAAAAAGTAATATTTACTTTCAATTGAGTCAAAAAATAGTGGCATCATTTGGAAAAAACTGATAAGTATAACATGAAAAATCAACACAGGTGTCATTAGGGTTTTAAGATTATGGACTTAACATTTTTAATACATTTTTCATACAAAAATATGCCATATTCCAGCACTATTTTGGTTTTTAGACAATCTGTCACAAGGTGATTTAGGGACTAAAGAATGTGTTAAGAACAGAGAACATGTAACTCAAATAAAACATACACTAAAATAGATTTCTAAAAATAAGGGAGTGGGGATATGGAACCAGGTGTGAGGAGAGAAGTGGAAATGGGAAAGGTGTAAATCTTCAACTGTCTGATGCCAGAGAGGTTATGTGACTTGTTCAAGGTCAGCAGCAGCAAAGCTAGATCTCAGATTTCCTGACTCTCAGACTAATGCTCATAAAGCTTTTTGCTGTTCTCTGTCTGTTGGTGGCACTTCTTGCTGGGCTGGGAGCTCATCCTCTACCTCAGGCTGGTCTCATGAGCCAAGTAATGTTTCCATAGACAAGGGGAGATTGCTATCATTCTGCTCACTCCTGCCTCCTGCAGTTTGCCCAGAATTCTTTTTTTTCTTTCTTAGTAAAAACATCAAAACATGGACAAATATTATACTTTTCTTTTGTTCTCTCAACCTAGAAGCCAGTGGATTTTTCTCTTCAGAAAGTTGAAGCAAGCCATTGGAAGTCAGGTCTCCTGGCCCTTCCACCCCGAGCTCTCTTCTCCTTGCCTTTTCTTCTTCCTCCTCTCCTCCTGGTTAAAAAACAAAACAAAAATACTATAAACTGTTAATGGCTAAACAATTTTTTGTTAAGGTTTTGGCTTTTTCTTGATTGAAAGTGCCGCTGGACTTTAACAGAGCTGCTGCTCTACTCCCACCTCCCCTTTCTTGAACGTTAAAAAAAGGCAACTGTGCAAAGGGGAACAGGCCAAGATACCTAAAAGTGAAGGGTGAGAGAGGACGATGTCCTGATAATGAAGTGGTACCAGGTCACTTTGCAGTATTTACTTTTGCAGTAATTGACAGCGAGAGGATTGAATGGTCTAGCGGTTAAAGGCTCTGGAAGCAGGAACACCAGATTGGCCAGTTATTGACTGTGCCCTTCAGAAGTTACTTAAATGTTTAAGCCTCATTTTCTCATTTCTAAAATTATAATAATAGTACCTGTCTCCTAAAATAGTTGCTAAATTTAAACTGTTGCTAAAATTAAATGAGATAATATATGCAAAGTGCTTATTAGCACAATACCTGGTCCTCAGTATGTATTTGATAAATTGTGGTTGACGTTAGTAGGTTGTAAGTGCTGTTCAGTTAGGGATTCTGTCTTCCTAACCCTGTCTTCCCAGTGCCTAGGGTGGGACCTAGCCCAGTAGCTACTCAGTAATTATTTTTTGAATGCCATGTGATGATGATCAACTTTTCCTTCTTCTCCAGACCAGAGTTGTTTCTTAAATGCCAAAGAATCTCTTTTCTGCACTCTTATAACTCCTAAAAAGCAGTTGATCTTTCTCTTTGTCTAAGCATTTACAAAGTCTACAAGAATCAGGCCATAACATCACGTGTACTTCCAACTAGTGGGTGGATGTGTTTGGGTAGCAGTAAGCAGGCAGGGATGAACAACTGTTAGCCACAGTCCTATTATTAGGTTAGAATTTTCTAGCATTATCCCACCATTAATTTGTTTGTTCATTTATTACTTACTTTGTATCAAATTCTTCCTGGCCCTTGGGTCTCAAATTCAAATATGACAGGAATCCAGGGATCTTGGCTTCCAAAAAAAAACTGCCATTTGGTAGAAGAGACTAATAATAAAGCAGTTAAAATATAATATGAAAAATGCTGCCATACATAGATAGATATACAGGAGATGATTTGGGACTTCAGACAAGGAACTTGAACCTGAAGAGGGCAATCGACATCATGAGAAGAGGGGCAGGTCTTACACAGGAAGATTTTTCCAGCCCAGGAGCTTGCCCTTTATTTTAAAGGCAGTGAGAAGCCACTTAAGGATTTAAGTTAAGAAAGTTGTGATCAGATCTGAAAGCCACTCTGGTGGTTTTGTGGAAAATGGATCAGGAGACTGAATGTTAGTAAGGAGTGAGAACCTGAACTAAGTAAAGGAGTTACAGTGGCGGTGAGATCGGCAGAAGAATTGCAGAGAGAAGATGGGGTGATTCAACCCCTAGGTTTTGGTGACCAGTTGGGTATGTGGGAGCTGGTGGTGGGTCATGGGAAGGAAGAGTCAAGAGCATCTCCTGGGTTTCTGGCTAAGGCAGAATTGAGTGGAGAAAGGGAATGGGAAGAGGGAGGAGCTTTGGGAGTAAATGATGTTCAGCGTAATATGCTTGGTCTCAGGTACCTGTGGGGGATCCACTTATGGAAGTCTAGTAGGCTGCTGGATATGTATTGGTTTGAGAATTCATGAGACAGATGCAGGTTGGAGGCCTGCGTTTGGGAATCATTCTACCCTAGCATATCCCTTGTAGCTCCTACCCAGCCTTGCTTCCATGCCTCTAGGCCTCCAGTTTATCAATTTTATCACCTTTTCCCCCCGTCCCTCGTCCCTTGCATGTCTTCATCCCCTCCTTATTCAGCTTAAACTCCATGGTTAGTCATGGTAGTTCCTCTCTTGCTTTATCATACTCACTTGACAAAACTATAATCCTGATTCATGCCTTCCGACCTGCTGTATATGTATACAGCTATATGGCCTACCCATCCGGCTGAACATGGCTGTTGAAAAGCACACCACCAGGTTAACGCATCTCCCTGATGTTTATACTCAAAGTGGGGCCTACAAGCTGCCAAGTTGAACTTGTGAACTGCAGTCCATTCATTCTCCTGTTCTAGATGCCAGCTTTCTACTGTCACCCTTCTCTTCAGATTGTCAGTACCCCATCATCCTTAGCTGATCATCTTGTTTCCAAGTTCACTGAGAACACTGAAGCAATGTGAAGAGAACTCCCACAGACTTTTTACTCTCACCTCCCAGAAATACTCCCCCCTTTTCTGTGTTTCATATAATCTTTTATATATATATATATATATATAATTTATATATATTTGTATTTATTTATATTCTTATATGTATATGTAATTAAAAATATATTTATATTTTCATTTCTTCTATCTTGGAAAAAAACCCTCACTGTCCTACCAGCGACCATCCCATTTCTTTTCTTTGTAGAACTCAAAAGAATTGCCTGTGCTCTGTTTCCAGCTCCTCACTTCCCATCTCTCTTGAATCCACCTGAATAAGCTTTTCAACAAGCAGTAGCATTTGATATGGTTGATTGCTCCCTCCTGTGTGGTAAGCATTTCTTCACTTGGATCTAGGTATTGCATTCTCTGTCTGTTTTCTGCTGCCTCACTGGCCATTCCCTTGCATCTTCTTGGTTAGTTCCCCTTTGCTCCCTGACCTCTCCATGTTGGAATGCAGCAGGGTCTAGTCCTGGTCCTCTTCCTTTGTGATGCCACCCAGCCTCAAGGCTTGCCATGACATATGCTGATTACTCCTAATTTGCATAAATCCCAGACCTCTCTCCTCAACTTGAGACTCATAGACTCATAGACTCTCCCTCTTTGACATTTTTGCGTGGATGTCTTGACTCCTCAGTTTCAATAGGACCTAAGCTGATGATCTGATCTGCCTTCCCTCCCCTAAACCTGCTCTACCTGGAACCTTCTTCATCTCTGTTGATGCCAACTCCACCTTTTCCTTTGCTCAGATGAAAGACTTCTGATACATCTTTGACTTCTCTCTCTCATACTCCATATCCAGTCATTTGAGAAATCCTATTATCTCTATTTCAGAATATATCCAGAATTTGAGTTCTTCTCACGATTGCCACTGCTATTCCTAGTCCAGGTCACCATTTTTTCTCTCTGGCATTATTGGAACAGCCTCCTCGATTGTATCCTACAGTTCATATTCAACACAGCAGCTGGGCAGAGACTTTTCAAATGAAAGTCCCTTCATGTCATGTCTCTGCTAAAACCTTCTCAGTGGCTCCTCCATGTCACTGAGTGCAGAAGCCCTATACAATTTGGCCCCTTCACCTCTCTGTCTTGGTCCCCTGCTTCCCTTCAACTTGCCCACTCCACGCCAGCCACACTTGCTATTCTTGGACATGCCATGTCTCATGCCCCCTCCTCAAGGTCTTTGCACGGACTCTTCCTTTCTCCGTTGTATTCTCCTTCCTGTTGTCCACATGGCAGGTTCCCTCACCTCCTTCACGTCTCCACTCACACATCACCTTCTTAACAAAGACTACCCTGACCATCTTGTTTAAAATTGCAACCCTCCCTTCCTGGCCTATAACTGACACTCATCATTTCCCTTAACGGACTCTCTTCTCTCTCTTTGTGTAGTACATATCAGCCTCTAAGAATACCATTTAATTTACTTATCATGTTTATTGACCCTCCCTCCCCCAGTTAGAGGTTAACCGGATCAGGGATCTTCATTTGTTTTGCTCACTGATGTATCCCAAATATCCACTACAGTACTTGGCACGTGTCAGATGCTCAGTAAATAGATGAGTTGATGAATCAGCACATGAGGCCATGGTGGTGGATGAGATTATTATGGACGGGATGAAAGAGTAGAGGGTGTAGAGGACCAAATGCCTGGATCTGCCTTTAATCAATAACAGAAGTAGTAGTAACACCCTAGAAGTTATTACTTCAGATATTTGGAGAGTATAACCCAAAAGTCAGTTGCAGAATATAATATCCAAAGAGGATTGCCTGAATAATATATGGCCTATACATTCTTTTTGATATTCTGATTGTAATCTTTGGATTAAGCTAAACTGTCAGAGAGCTGCGTATCTAGGACAGTTACAGCTCCCCATGGAACTGTTTTTATTTTATTGAGTTTTGACTTTTCACCATTAGCCTACCACAAAAGGCATTATTTTAAAAAATCCTATAAGATTTCATTATATTGTTGAATTTATTACAGCTATATTGTTGAGGTTGATGTTCTCTGTATCAGAAAGTGCCCTCTTTAAATCAGGACCAATGAGATAAAATCCCCTTGAATCTAATTATGATAGTCACTGTGGTTCTTTTGAACAACTGGTTTGATTTTATTTTGTGGAGATTGTATTTTATGTTAATGATTTTACCACTTTTTTTCATTTATTCTTTCTCATTCTTTTTTTTTAAGGTTTTATTTATTTATATGAGAGAGAGAGTGTGTGCTCTAGCAGGGGGAGGGGCGGAGGGAGAGGGAAAAGCAGATTCCCTTCTGAGTAGGTAGGGAAGCTGACTTGGAGCTCCATCCCAGGATCTCAGGGTCATGACGTGAACTGAAGGCAGATAGATGCCTAACTGACTGAGCCACCCAGGTGCCCCTCTTCTTTTTTTTTTTAAACCAGTGGTTTTTAGGATTTAGTGTTTTTTTCAGTTTTGCAATCCCCACAATCAATTTTAGAACATTTCATCACCCCCAGAAGAAACTGTGTCCTTTAGCTATTACTCCCAAATCTCCCTATTCCCCTTAGTTTTAGACAATCACTAATCTGTTTTATCTCTATCGATCTGCCTGTTCTGGACATTTCATTTAAGTGGACTTGTAGAATGTGGTCTTCTGTATCTGGCTTCTTTCACTGAGTATCATGTTTTCAAGGTTTATCCATGTTGTAGTGTGTGTCAGTGCTTTGTTCCTTATAATACCGCATTTTATAATCTGCTTACCAATTGAATATTTGGATTGTTTCCACTTTTTGGCTATTAATGAATAATGCTGCCCTGAATAATTGTTTGCAAGTTTTTGTGTGGACTTGTGTTGCTTTCAGTTAGGTAAGTGTCCAGGAATGGAATTGCTGGGCCAAATGGTAACTCTGGGTTTAACTTTTGAGGACTGCCAGACTGTTTTTCAACGTGGCTTGGCCATTTTTCATTCCCTACAGTATCTTTTCCAACAGATATTATCTGACTTTCTGCTTCTGGCCATTCTAGTGGGTATGGAGTGGTATCTTATTGTGGTTTTGATTTGCATTTCCATGGTGGCTAATGATGTTGCTATCTTTTCATGGGCTTATTTGCCATTTGTATATCTTGTTTGGAAAAATGTCTATTCAGATTTTTTGCCCATTTTGTAATTTTTTTTTCTTTTTGTTAATGAGTTTGTAATAGTTTTTTAATGTATTCTAGATACAAGTCTCTAATCAGATAAATAATTTGCAAAAATGTTCTCCTGTTCTTTTGGTTATCTGTTCACTTTATTGATAGCATCCTTAAACAAAGATTTTAATTTTGATTTAATCCAGTTTAACTTTTTTGTTGTTGCTTGTGCTTTTGGTATCATATCTAAGAAAACATTGCCCAATCCAGATCATGAGGATTTATTTCTTTTTTTGTTTTCCTAAGAGTTTTATAGTTGTAGCTCTTATATTTAGAACTGTGATGCATTTTGAATTATTTTTTGTGTATGTTGTGAAGAAAAGGTCCAGCTTCATTCTTTCACATGTGGATGTCCAGTTGTCCCAGTAGTTTTTGTTGAAGAGATTATTTTTTCTCATTGAATAGTCTTAGCACCCTTGTTAAAAATCAGTTGACCATAGATATATGGGTATATTGCTGGGCTCTCAATTCCATTCCATGATCTATAAATCTACCTTACTACTTTTTTTTTTTTTTTTTGGTCTGCTAGTAAACTTAGAGCTCAATGTGAAACTTTCTGGCAGGTGTATAGGAATCTCAGGGATGAGATTAGTGGACTCACATCACCCCTGGCTTCCTATTTCCCTACTCCCGGGTTTATGTGTGCTCTATTAAAAAATCTTTTTTTGAAATGAAGTGTGGGATGTTAATAACTACAGTATCCTTACACTTCAGAGGTTTTATTAATCAGCTCTTACTGAAGGCTGGCTAATTTATACATTACACTTCTGTCAGCTAAAACGTGAAATTTCTGTTAAATATCTTAAATGTTTCCCCCTGTCAAATTATTATTATGAGCTGATGTTGTTGCCTTTTTATTTACTTTTACTTGGAATTCAGATAATTTCTAAGATTAGCACCTACTTGGCTGCTTGGCTCTGTTTCTGTCATTAATAACTTATTTTTCTCCCTCCCCCCCCACATCTTAAATGATTATATTTATGTATACTGAAAGTGTGTTGAATATAATTTGGTGCTATGTTCAGAGAACTGTAAATGTTTATACCTATTTATTCAGTCATCCCATTTCCAAGTACCTAGCCTAAGGAATAACACTAAATATAGAAATGTGCACACTCAACAAATGTTTGCCCTACCTCGTTCATAATTGTGGAAAATGGAAAATAACTGACATGTCTTAGAGTGAGGGAATAGATGTTAGCTATATTCTAGCCACTGAATGTACTAGTATGTACCTATTTTTAAAATAAAGGTAATAAAGACCATTCAGCAACTTAAAAATTAATGTCCTATAATGATAGATAAAAGAAGCACTATGCGAAATAGACGTATTGAATAGAGTTTAAGGAAATACGTAAATGGCAATGGTTTTTCAGTATAAATTTATCATTCTTTCTTATGTTTTTAATTTTAAAACCTAGAATTATTGAAATTTGTAATTCTCATAGGAATCTTTCTCCCCCTCTCCCCCTTTCAGATGCGAATCTGGCTATACTGGACAGCATTGTGAAAAGACGGACTTTAGTATTCTTTATGTTGTGCCAAGTAGGCAAAAGCTCACTCATGTTCTTATTGCAGCAATTATTGGAGCTGTACAGATTGCCATTATAGTAGCGATTGTCATGTGCATAACAAGGTAGGTAATGACCTAAGAAATACCAAACTTAAATTAGAGGTGGGTAGCTGTTAAATTAAAGAAGAACCTTGAAGCACACTCAAAATGATAGGTGCTTTAAGTCCTCTAGTCTATTAGGAAAAAAGTCCTAGGATCAGTTGCCTAAGGTTTCTATGTGGGTCTGACCTCTCCTTATCTTGCTTCTTTAGAATATGAGCAAGAACTCATTCTCAGGGTTACAGGTATAGCTGGGCTGCATGCAGAGGGAGCATGAGAATATTCAATAGCATAAAGGAATTTAGGGATCTTAGAACTGCACTCAGGGATGATGATGGTAATAGCAGAAGGACCATGCTGAGATTTTTAAAGCTCTGAGGAACTGGAAGGTGTTTTATGCCCCAAGAATATACTTTATCCATAGTAAATATAGTAAGAAAGGAAGAAACCAGAGATTAAAGAAAACTGCTTTTCTTATTATATCATTGTCTTAACATTACTTCGTTTTCTGGAATACAATCATAAGTCATCTCTAAAATTCTCCATCATAACTAAAACAGTTGGCATTTATCATAACTAAACTCCAAATTAAAAGACATACTTGGATTACAGTGGGCATAAAATGGGTGTTTTCCAAACTGAGTGGAAATGTATAATTCCAATTCTGGGCCCAAGAAAAGTCAAACTAAATCCAGTTCATGTTGTCTTTCTGCTTCCCAGTGTCATGTCTTTTTTCTTGCATGGCTCTTCATACCTCCTTTAAGATTTGGTTCAGAAGTCCCATCAACATCATCTCTGCACTGTTCTGCATTATTCTGGGCAGAGGATCGGAACATATCAAGTACAGATATTGGCAGGCCATAATGGGTTTATGACTCTTCTATCTAAGATCTGGATAGAAGCCAGACCTTCAGTACTCTGAGCCATCTGGAGCTGAAATGATAAATCTAGAAATTATAAAAAAAAAATGTTCTCTGGGTAACAGGTGCTTTTCATAAAATTAAGGTGCTGAAGTCAGTGGACTTTATTTATTTAATTTTAAATTGGTAGCTTTTTTTTTTTAATATTTAATTTACTTACTTGAGAGAGAGAGACGGAGATAGTGAGAGAGAACAGGAGCAGGGAGGAGAGGGAGAAGCAGGCTCCCCGCTGAGCAGGGAGCCTGACGTGGGGCTTGATCCCAGGACCCTGAGATCATGACCTGAGCTGAAGGCAAACACACAACAAACTGAGCCACCCAGGCGCCCTCTCAGTGGACTTTATTCCACAGGACAGATGATCTGCCCTTAGGCAAGACTATTGAGTATAAAATTGGGCAGTAGATGGGGCACCTGGGTGGCTCAGTCATTAAGCGTCTGCATTTGGCTCAGGTCACGGTCCCAGGGTCCTGGGATCGAGCCCTGCATTGGGCTCCCTGCTCCGCGGGGAGCCTGCTTCTCCCTTTCCCACTCCCCCTGCTTGTGTTCCCTCTCTCTGCTGTGTCTCTCTCTGTCAAATAAATAAAATCTTTAAAAAAAAATGGGGCAGTAGATTAAAATAGGGATGAAATGATTAAAAAATAATGACAGCAGAAAGGGCAAATAGAAGAAACCCATATAACAGCAGGGCTGCCTGTGGCCGTTTAATATAGGCTTAGAAGTTAAGTAATTTGCCTGTGGTCATCCAACTAGTAAGTGGAAGTGCCTGGATTTGGATTCAGTGCTGCCTTATTTCCAGAGCATTCCTCTTTCCACTGAACCTTCAAGAGGAGGGTCCATGTTGAGTCATCTCAGGAAATATATTTGCCAGGTATGACCATTGCGTGGGAGCAAGGTTCAGACTTGATTTTTGAACAGTCACGGGGACGACTTGGTATGAATCATTTTTTTCAGAGCATTGATCTGAGTGTCATCTGCAAAATTTCACTGGAGGTCAGGGGAACCATATAGGACATTATTCGAGGAAAGCTGGAGTGGAGTAATGAATTATATGGAGGGTGAGAGAAAGAAATAAGGTAAAGATGAGGGAGGCTTTTGAGGCCCGGTGATAGTGTCATCTTTAAGAAGATCAAAGGATGGTTGAGTCAGCAGGAAGCAACTTTGAGTCAACCCCTTCTGTTCTAGAGAAGTAAGGAAACTTGAGGGCCTGGATGGGGGAAGTACCTTACTTAAGATCAGGGAGATAGTTAAGCCCTTTTACAAATCCTAATCCAGCCTTTTATCTTGCTCTTTGCTTCTGTTCTCAGTGTGCTATAATCTTCTAAATTCTAATTCTACTAAGTTAAAATTACCTGACAGATAGTTTTCAAGTCCGTGCCTTCTAGCTGATATCCCAGATCCATTCGCTACCTTCAAACACACTTTGAACATCACAGTGTTTTTGCAACCATGTTACACTGTCTTCACTGCCCATCGTCTCCGTGACTGAAGGGCCATCTTGTTGAATTTATCCTACATTTATCCTGGCAGCCTGTCTTCTTATTGTGGTGTTTTCTCCCCTCAAATGTTTTGCTTCATGAATTTAGAATATTATAATCATGTACTTGGACTTAGCTCCACTGAATTTTTAAGGAGTGCCTCTCCCACATAGTCCGTTATGGGACAGCTGTTCACTTATACCATGGTGGCTGTCCCATGTGAGGAATCTCCCTTTAAAAGGATGTTCCCACTGACTCATGTATCAAAACTGCATGAGTAAAACTTTCTTCTTTTATGCTTGGAATCTTCTTTCATATTTTTACACTCTTAGAATGATAGAATAGCAGGGACCTCAAGCATTACCCTAGCCAAACCCCTTTTTTTTTTATAGATGACAAAACCATGGCTCCAGAGAGTTGGAACTCTTCCAATGTCATGGTGAGTTGGTGACAGTTAAAGAGGTTTGCTTGGCCTCTCAACCATGAAATGGAGATGATTCTATCACTGTCTCCCTCAGAATGTTTTTAGTGAGAATTAGTGAGATAAAATTTATGAAATACAGTATATGAAATGGAAGTGTTACCATCAAAGTTTTTAAGTCAAGCAAAGCAGTGCTTTTTGAAACTGAATTAAAAACATGGAACTTTAGGAGCACTCCTTGTTGCAAGACTTTCTTTCCATTAGATTATAAATTCCTTGCTGGCAGGGATCTTAGAGGTTGGTTCAATTTTTAATATTTCATATATGGGAAAAGGGTGTTGCACAGCTAGTTTTTAGCAGAGCCCGAGCTCAAAATTACCAGAATTGATCCCAGTGCCTTTGTTCCACGTTGCATACCACAGCACTCGTGTGTTTGCATTCTAGTGGGCAGACACAAGAGCGGGTACAACACAATGAGATTTATACCACCATGGAGAAACAGGTACGGTAAAATGAGAGCAGAGTCAAGGACTATCCCTTATCCCCGGCGTGACAGTTCTTTATCGGGTTCTGTGGTTTGCTCAAGCAGGCTGTGGAACAACTTCTTTTGAGTCATTGTCTAAAATCACTAAGCATTTCCTACGTATTCATTCCTGTGCATGCACACTTCTTCCTAATTACTCCTTCATCCAAGCTGTTCTTGTCATTTTGGGGGTGTCCTAATGCTCAGGAAAAGCACATAGGCCAGGATCCTTTCTACTGTTCGAGGTTTATGTGTTATCAGTCACTGTGGCTAGGGAGTTGCCAGGTCAGAAGAAGGGCGGGGATTCCTCTCAGGGAGGCATATGCAGCAATAGAGACCCAGGAGTGAGCTTTGCTTGTGCTCACACCTGCATCCCGTACCTAACCCTCTCACCTCCCAGCTGTGTAGGGAAGACAGCAGTCTGACATGTTGGTCCTCAGCTTGTCTTGCATCAAACAGCATCCTCTTTCCTAATATGGCTTTGTGTGTGAAACGTGTATTACTTTGGAAACATTTGAAATCTCTTAAACAAAATGACCTTTTTCTTTCTTTTTTTTTTTTTAACTCAACAGAAAATGCCCTAAAAACAACAGAGGACGGCGACAGAAGCAAAACCTAGGTCATTTTACTTCAGATACATCATCCAGAATGGTTTAAACTGATGACTTTTATATGTACACTAACCATGTGATGTACATTTATTATGTCTTTTTTTAAAGAATGGAAATATTTATTTCAGAGGCCTTATTTTTGGACATTTTTAGTGTAGTACTGTTGGCTCGTATTTAGAATATTCAGCTACAACAGTTTTGGACTGTTTAGTAGTCTTTGTTTTATGTTTTTAAATACAGAAATTGATTTCACAAATTTATACCACATGGTAATTCTAAGACTTGTTCTTTACCCATGGAATGTAATATTTTTGCAAAGATGGACCACTTCACAAATGGTTATAAAGTCATACCCACTTCTTCCACAATGACCACAACAAATGACCAAGCATGAACTAAAGGTAAAGATGTTTACAGATTACTTTTCTTACAAAAAAAAAAGATAAAAAAATCTAGAAGACACTGTGTTTAAATAGACATTTAAATGTTTTTGAGATTTAGTAACTGATTTTTTAGACACTGCCTATCGCATGAACTGTAAAGTTGTGTGTGTTAGATGTAAAATATTTGTAAGTTGTATGGATTGGAATTTGATTATTCCTCTCTTTGAAAAAATAATTCTGATAATTCGGAAAAGTATCTGGTAGCAAAGATGGAACAGATCACTGGAAAGTAGATTTTTAGATATTGTGAAAATAGTCTGTTTAACAAACAGATTGGAATAAAGCCTTCTCTATCAGTTAAACTACCTTGATACACATTCATTTTTAAGAAAATATTTGTTTTAACATAAATAAACAAAGTGTATCCGTGTTTGTGAATAAAATGCAAAAATGATTGTTAATGATTGGTGCTCTTAAGGTGAGCTTAAAAATTATCTAAGACCTCTATCCAAATTTGTCCTGTAGTAATAGCTGTATTAATAGGTTGTTGGTGTTTAAAGATCTGAAGTGTGAGTAGAATGTATTCAGCTGTTTAACTTGTAGTTTAGATATATGCATGTAGAATTTAAGAATATGTTCAAAATTAAATATTAATTTTAATATTTGGTTTGGAAAAGCATGTTATAATATAATGTTTTCACTATATGGCCTCTGTTTTGGTGTGTTTATTTACCACGTTCTTTCCTATTGATAAATCAGTACATTTAATACGTGAAGTAAGTAGGAAAAGATTTCAGTTCAAAATTCCCCTTTGCTTTTGCAAATACTGCTTGAAATTATCTAAAGACAGAAGCTTTGCCCAACATGCAGCATTTGCTTTTCTGGTCATTTGGCTTCTAGGCTTAATATTAGTAACATGGCGGCTTCGGGGAACTTTTTTTTTTTTTTTTAAAGCTTTCCTCTTCTCTCCACACAGACTTATTTGAGTCCATTAGTCAGTCGCCAAGCATGTTTGGAACAGTACCCAGTGCTCTACAAGGGTTCATGTTGCAGAACAGTCATGTGTGGGTATTTGTAGTTATAAATACTTGACCAGTCTCCAGGGGTGGGGTTTCCAACCCTTTAAACAACCCTGTTGCCTGTTACCAAGCTAACTTTTTACTCTTAGCGCCAGAACTGATTGTGGTGGGACATCTTTCACTGAGAAATAACTAAAATGGAACATAATGGGTCAGCTTCAAATGCAGATAAAATCCACCAGAATCGCCTGTCGAGCGTTACAGAAGATGAAGACCAAGACGCTGCTCTCACCATTGTGACCGTGCTGGACAAAGTAGCCACCATCGTGGACAGCGTGCAGGCAAGCCAGAAGAGACTAGAGGAGAGACACAGGGAAATGGGAAATGCCATAAAGTCCGTCCAGATTGACCTGTTGAAGCTCTCACAGTCACACAGCAATACAGTCTACGTCATTAACAAGTTGTTTGAGAAAACGCGAAAAATCAGTGCTCACATTAAAGACGTGAAGGCCCAGGTAGAGAGGCAGCAAATTCACGTGAAAAAAGTTGAATCCAAGCAAGAGGAAATAATGAAGAAAAACAAATTTCGTGTGGTCATATTCCAGGTAAGCTTGCCACCTGCGTTTGGTCTGATTACTGCAAAATCTTAACATCCTTGAATTGCCAACCAGTCGTATGAGTTTTCCAGCATCACATCCTAACTATTGTATATATTCATGGAGTGGAGTTCTTTATCAGCGAGAATCCCAGGATAAAGCCATTTCTGTATTGACTAATGTGCTATCCTATCAGTACGTGGAGTTTCTCAACTATTTTGTGTAATAGGAACTGTGGATCATAGCTGAGGCTATTTCTTGCCTTTGAAACTTAATATTGGTACGGCTCTTTCAGCATATTAGCCATCTTAGCATGGTGCCCTTTTGGAGACTGAGAATATCAGTTCTAGAAGAGATCTAAGAAGCCTCTGGTTTAAAACACCTCTTCGTTGTATAAAAAAAGAAACCGAGGACCCATAGTCCCACAATGTCGTTTTCTGCTTTATCATGGAGAGCCTGAAAAGCTCTAAACAGTAAAATGTAAACTCTTCGGAATATTATTTGTCTGTTGGATTTTTTGCATGTGGTAATATGTAGGTTACAGAAAAACTGTTTCTTAACGAATAATCAGGCAGGTGTTTTTATAGTTGTTACAGTTTTACAAATGTTGGAGTCATAGAAGTAATTGCTTCTGATGATTCAAAGTCTTTTGACTCTGCTTAGTTAATATAGCTGTTTTAGTGTGGCATTGTGCATTGCGCTACATTCCTATATTACTCTGCGTTTGGCATTCAATTTTTTGAAATAGGAACACATCCATGGCAAAATGCATGGTATCTGTAATATATTTTAAGACTCTTACAAAACAAAAGGGAAAAGTTGAACTCTTCCCCCTGTGGTAGAAAAACAGGAAAGTCGTTATCAGACTGTTCATAAAAGACAAAAGATCAGAATTCCATTTTTGCCTATTTAAGTATTTTCAGTTATTAAAACATATACTCAGAGTTTAAGGGTTAAAAAAAGTACTTTCATATTCTGGTGGGAGTATTAACTGGCACAACATTTCTGGAGGGAAGTTTTGGTAGTATGTTATTAAGAACCTTCACAAACCTTCACAAATGGCCCCCAAATTTCATGTCAAAGAATTTTTCTAAGCATAAAATCAGGAATGTGTGCAGGGATATTCACTGTATACACACACACACACACATTATCACAGTGTATTTTTAAAATGGATGGATACCCCTATGCATAGGAAAAAACCTTCGAAGAGTAAAAACAAAATGAAATAGGAATACAGTTGGATTATGTAGGCAGATATTTATAAGACACGAGGGATGTGGGCCATAATTCTCCACAGCATTGTCTACACTTTAAGTCTCCATTGTACTCTGTTGACTGGTAAAGTTACACTGGGATGGCAGAGTAGTATTTGGGATCTGTTTTTAAAAACCTGAAGAGAAAGAGGCCAGTCCCAGGGTTAGTGTATATAATGGGGATCTAGATTTGGTACTAGAGAATGTAGGATCCATTCTTCAGTTCACCTTCCAGGGGCATTAGCAGGAATGGGTTATGTTGCACCCTTCACTTGCATGGGGCATGCCAGGAAACATTCTTGGTATCTAACATTTCTCCTGAGACCCTTTTGCGAAGAGTGGACCAGGTACCAATCAAGATCTACAAAGGCTAGAGGAAAGAAGTTTCTGAAAAGTTCTAATCGACTCTTGTCTATAGACATAATTTTTGTTTTTTTTTACAGTTAAGATTGTTTTCTATATTCACCTGTTTATTCCCTGAAACTTGCTATTTTTTTCCTGAGTTTCTATAATGAGTTGAACAAGTAGAAGATAGTATGAAAAAGCTACGGAGAGGCGCTAATTTAAGTCAGATCTTGTTCTTTGTAGGATACAGTGCTGTGAAGGTTCTATGAAATTACGTTGTTCAGAGGAAGCAGCAGTTTGTCCATAAGCAGCTGCTGTCTTTTATAATGGTAGAGCTTGTAGAGAAAAGATGATGGCAAATAACAATGGATTTGATGATTCATTAGCTGTTAGAACACTGTACAGTATGCACATGGTTATATTTAGTTAAAATTCATTCTTATACTTCATTCTCACAGTTAATATGTATAAGTGGTTACACTGAGATCACCTGTCCTACTAAAATTAACTTGAAGCTGGAGTAATTCAGCTGTAGTATACTTTCATTTCCACTTGGATTTTTCCTCAAAAAGTTTTCCCTGGATACATTTTTGGGGGTAGTCTTTATTGGCATTTTATCTCCCACAGGAACTTTCACCTAATCCTGGACATTGGCATTAAAAAAAATTATCTTCTCTTTTTCATACAATTATGATTTCTCTTTGAACATACTTTCAACCTTAATGACCTCCTCATGAGAGCCAACAGTCATACCATCTCTTCTAGCAATTTTGCTTACAAACCACATGCCTGCAGTTACCAAATGAGATATTTGGCCATTCCCTAATGATAAGCCTTGGACTTCTCTATATTCGAAAGTCCCCTAGCTAGGTTACTTTGATACTCAATAAGAGCCACTTTACTCTGACCATAGTACTCGCTTTGTTACAAAAATTGTTTTACCTGGACTTTTACATAAAAAGATATATAATAAGGGGCGCCTGGGTGGCTCAGTTGGTTAAGGTCTGCCTTTGGCTCAGGTCATGAACTCAGGGTCCTGGGATTGAGCCCCGGCTTGGGCTCCCTGCTCAGCGGGGAGTCTGCTTCTCCCACTCCCTTCCTCACAACCTTTGCTCTCTCTCTGAAATAAATAAGTAAAATCTTTAAAAAAGATATGTAATAATTATTTGAAAATCAGCTGTAACTCAACCCCATAATCTTCAATTATTGTTACAGTATATTCATCATTAACTCATGGTATCTCTGACTCAGTAGGAATTGCAACAAAGAGATTCATGTAACAAGTACTTTCTCTGACTACCTCTGTTTTGTTTTTAAGTATGATTTTGTATAATTCGTGCAATTGAAAAAAAGGGTGTATGATTCCTGAGTTAAGCTATGTCTTATTCCTTCATAGTGAGATTGTAAGGGTTTTCCCCCTACTAAGCAGTAATTATTCTTTGGCTCCTTCCTATTCTAATTATACCTTCTCAGGCCATACCAATCCACTTGGTGTTGCTGAAGCTACTCCATGTAGCAGGTGTCAGGAAAGGAGAGGAATAATTTTGCTGCCTCTCACTGATTCATCAGAGAGTTATGAGATGCCCACCTGCCTTTTCTTCTTTTTTAAGCTGCTAGACTCTCCAATCCTGTAGCCAAAGAATTTAATTTTAAGCAAGTATCCAAAGAAATTAAGGTTCCAAGGACCTTCTTGACTGTTAGGCTAATGGGTTTTGGAATAAACCTATTTCTTTTTTTTTTTTTTTAAAGGTTTTATTTATTTGACAGAGAGAAAGACAGCCAGAGAAGGAACACAAGCAGGGGGGGGTGGGAGAGGGAGAAACAGGCTTCCTGCGAAGCAGGGAGCCTGATGCGGGGCTCGATCCCAGGACCCTGGGATCATGACTTGAGCCGAAGGCAGACGCTTAACGACTGAGCCACCCAGGCGCCCCTGGAATAAACCTATTTCTTACATATTAATTTTTTTGACTGAACAGATTTAATCTGGATCTCAAATAGGAGCATAGTTTCTTTTAGAAATTTTAACTCATGGGTTCCCTTAAAAAAATCTCATGATCCTTAAAGTTTTGCCTGTTTAGTTTTAGAAATAATCCCTAAATATTTGGGTTTCTTTAGCAGCTGTGTTTCTGGGCTGGTTTGCAAGGTCTCCAGTGTCTGCCTTGTTCCCAAATCAAATTCTCATCCTTATCCTTTGACACATCTGACATAGTTGGTCTCTCCCTCTCTTCTTGAAACTTCTTTTTCCTTGGCTTTGGGGGTGCTGCTCTCTTGGATTTCCTTCTGCTTCGCTGGCCGATATTTCTCCTTTTTAGTTCTTTCTCATCTCTTCCTTTTTATCTACAGGTTCAAAATCCATTTATCTGTCTAAACCCCAAAATCCAGGGCGCCTGGGTGGCTCAGTTGGTTAAGCG